TTCCCTGAAGTTTTTTAAAGCCATCTAGTGCTTCAGCAAAGGATAGTATATCCACACTCATCTCAAGGCTGAATTTTAACAGACCTTCACTATTCAAAGACTTCCTCAATTTTAATTTTCAGTCTTTGGGGTCAAAGGCAATTCCATCATCAAACCCTACTCTATATTCTCTCAGTCCTGTTTTAAAGGCAAGGTAATCCTTTTCTGAACACATGTCTTGATAAACAGAATATTGGGTAACATAGTTTAGCAAGGTTCTATTTTCCCACTTCTCTCCCAGTCTTCAAATTCATTAAATATATAACCTGCTTTTCAAGTTAGCACAGACCATAGTTTTACCAGATGTTTCTCTATTATATAACATTAGCTAGTCTTCCTAGTCACCAATACTAATTTGCTATACACCAAAGCGAATACCTTGGATCTTAGGGTTTCGTTATTGGTTCCCCCTACCCCCAAAGAAAGTCAAATTGCTGGTGCTGTAAGTTAGTTTATGCTATACTTATGGATACCCCTCCATTCTTACAGACTTAACAGAAGTCCTCACTATGTAAAATCTGCTAGAGATAAAGCCAATATTCCAAAGCACGTAATCTCCATATGCCAGCACAGCATAGCAGCCTGCTCAAATTTTAGGCACCATTCATTATATCAATATGCACTTTCACACATTATCTCAGCTGGAAACTGAAAACAAATGAAAACTCAGAAATCAAATATTTCATCCTGTAAATGATCTACCTTGATTTCACATGTACTTCTGGGTCTAAATAAAGTCTCATAAACAGATCTAAAATGGAGGCTGTAAAGCAGTGGAAACCCAGGCTTTTGGGAGAGGGGAAAATGCTAGAATGTTGAAAAGTCCATGTCTACCCCTCTGCTGTATGTAGAGATTTTTCTTTTTGCTTTTTGCGCTGTATGATTTCAATGTTGTATCTGTTTCTTATGCTTTTTAATCAGTGTGCTGTATTCTAATCTTAGATCTTGCACCCCTCTGGAAAGTTCTCAGACATGCTCTTCAGTGTTCTTCTCCCCACTTCTCCAGTAATGTATATACTGAAAGACCATTGTTCAGCCCTCCACACTGCCTCACTCCTCATTCTGTCTCAGTCCTCACTGCAGTTTTGCTGTTGGTTACGATTATCCCTCAGAGTGAGACTCTCCGTGTTAACTTGTCAATTCATTTTTGTTGAGATTAAAATATGGGAAATCATGCTGGGCCATGATGATACACATCTTTAATCCCAGACTTGGGAGGTAGAGGTAGGTGGATCTCTTAGTTAGAGGCCATCTGGTCTACATAGTGAGTCTCAGGCCAGCCAAGGCTACATACATAAAAAAAAGACAATTAAGATGATGGTTGTGGTGATGGTAGTGGTGATGATGATGGTGGTGGTGATAATGATGGTGGTGGTGGTAGTGATAGTAGTAGTGATGGTGATGGTGATTGTATTGGTGTGGTGGTAGTGATGGTGGTGGTGATGGTAGCCTAATGATGTTGGTGGTGGTGGTGATGATGGTGGTGGTGGTAGTGATAGTAGTAGTGGTGATGGTGGTGGTGGTGGTGATGGTATTGGTCTGGTTGTGGTGATGGTGGTGGTGGTGATGGTACTGGAATTAGTTATGATGATGGTGGTGGTAGTGATGGTATTGGTGATGGTGATGATGATGGTGGTGGTGGTGATGGCAGTAGTGGTGGTGATAATGATGATGATGGATACTGGCATTAATTAGCAAGCAGTCTCTGCCACAATTGGAAGGCAGCCACTAGAGACCCATTACGTGCCGTCAGTTCTTACTCCAGGATGCTCTATAATACACATTAAAAAATGAAAATGTACCTAAAGTCAGTAGTCATTAATTTTTACTTCAAAAATTTAAGTTTTTTATTTTGTGTTTTAATTGGGCAGAAGTAATTCAATTTACACTGGGGTTGGGTTTCTTAATAATTTTGATTTTTTGATTTTCTTTTTCCTTCTCTCTCTCTCTCTCTCTCTCTCTCTCTCTCTCTCTCTAGACAAGGTCTTTCTGCATAGCCCTGGCTATCCTGGACTCATTATGTAGACCAGGTTGACCTTGAACTCAAGAGATATACTCGTCTCTGCCTCCCCAGGGTTAGGATCACCACCCAAGCCTTAACAATTAATGTATTTAATGTAGTTGTGTAGCTTACAGACATTTAATTAGACCTTTTAAAAAATTGAGAGAGGCAGGATCCTACTATGTATCCCTGGCTGGCCTGAAACTCACTATGAAGTGAGGCTGGCCTTAGACTTACAGCGACCCCTCCTGCCTCTGCTTCCTAAATGCTGGGAATACAGGCATGTACCACCACTCTGGGCTTAATAAGGCATTTCTTATGTTTTCTATTTTTGTTTTACATTCATGTAGTAGGGATACATACCTGTCATAGCACGCATATGGACGTCAGAGACAACTTTGGGAGCAGTTCTTTCTGCCTTGTGAGTCCAGAGGACTGAATGCAGGACACGCTCCTTTACACACAGAGTCATCTCACCAGCCCTTGCCTTTCCAGTTTTATTTTATTGTTTCTCAAGACTTTTTATAGTCCCTGAAAAGCTCTCTCAGGCTTAGATACTATGCTCATTACATAAAATAATCCACAGGTCAGGTGTGGAGGCAGAGGGCAACATGGTACTGGCCTGTGTACTGGGGTAGGAGCAGATATAGCTAGAAGCTTGCCATGGAACCAAGTATCAGGAAGCAAAGGCTCAGTGTCTCAGGGAACTAGAGAACACCAACCCTGAAATGAGTGAGAACAAAACACAGACAACCACACATGAAGAGTGTCAGGCTCTTGCACATCCGGGAGAGGAAGGGCTGAGAGCTCCAAGCCTTACTTGGAGCATTAAAACCCATGAACATGAACTTTTTGGCTCACCTGATACCACACTCCTACCTTCCTCACCCTTGCCTGGCTGTCATGGCAAGACGAGAGGAAGAATGTGTTAAAGGGGAGGGCCAGTGTGTCAGGTGACATTGGGACATCCAAAGGAGTTTCCAGCTATCATGGGAATCATAGGTCTGGAGCTCAGAAGAGTAGGTCCATAACTTATCAGACTCTCAGGATTTCTGCACCAGGGTGATTAGTTACAAGGTACAGAAGTCAATTCTTACTAATTAAACAGAAAGTGGACTTATTAAAAGGACTTTTTAGGTAGTTCACAGATCAAGAGTGTCATAGAGTTAAGCTCAGAGCTCTACCAAGACCAGAAACAATTCCTGGAATTATGCATAGAGCTGGTCTACTGAAGAAACCAGCACCAGCACCAGCACCCAATGCTTCATCCACTACTGCTGCCATAGAAACCCCACCTCCCCATAGCCACACCACCAGCCTGGAGCTAGAGTTTCAGGAGGTTGTGAGCAGCTGGATGTGGGATCTGGGAACTGAAACTCAGTCCCATGGAGAGCAGTGTGAATGCTTAACCACCGAGCCATATTTCCAGATCCTTAATTACTTCTTAAATCATGACCAGTAGCTTGAAGAGATGCTTGGAAATCAAGCATCTGAGATGTGTTGTGCTCACTCTCTCCCTCTCTTCCCCACCCCTCTGAATGTGTGGGGGCATGCAAGTGTTCATGTGGGTGTGGGTGTGTGGAGACCAGACTGGTCAACAGCTGGCGTTCTCCTCAATCGCGCTCCACTTTCTTCTCTTTTTTTTTTTTTTTGTTTTTTTGTTTTTTGTGACAGGGTCTCTCGGTGAACCTGGAGCTCACTAATTCTGGAAGGCCAGCTGGCCAGTGAGCTCCAGAAATCCTCCTGTGTCCACCCCGCCCCCTCACAGCACTGCTATCACACACACAACCCACCATGCCCAGCTTTTGCATGGGCACTGAGAGTTAAACTCACGGCCTTGCACTTGCACAGCAAGGACCGTACCCAGTGAGAAACCTCCCAGTCCCTCTACTTAGCTTCTACCGTGAAGAGTAAGCTGTGCCACCCAAGATTCCTGAGATGGGGGATCCACCAAAATAGGAAAGGAGTTGCCTTAATTTGCTTTCTATTGCTGTGATAATAACACTCAGCAAAACCAACTTGTGGAGGGAAGGGATTACTTGGCTTACATTTTCCCTTTCATGGTCCATCAGTGAGGAGAGTCTGGGCAGGAACTCAAGCAGGAGTAGAGGTAGAGGTAGAGGAACACTGCTTAAGTAGGCTTGTTCAACCCGCCTGCCTTCTTACACAACCCAGGACCACCTGTCCAGAGGCGGCACTGCCTCAGTGGGCTGGGCCCCTCCCAGTTCAATCCTTAATCGAGAGAATGACACACAGATGTGTCCATAGGACAACCTGATGCAGACAACTCCTCAGTTCAGCTTCTTCTTCCCAAGTGATTCTAGTCTGTGTCAAGCTGACAAAAATTAATTAACATAGGCTTTGAGTTCAACCCACATGAATAAGGCTCTGTACATTCACCACAAACATCCCCACCACGCTGCTACTGCTAGCCACTTAATGCAGCGTGAGCAGAGAAGACATCGAGGAGCACCACTATGTCAGGAAGCTTCGTTTTGTTCCTGTTGACACATTTATTCCGTTTGGAGGGTTGCTTGATTTTGGAAGTGTTGTTAGGTTTAGGGTTTGCTTTGAGAAAAGGTCTCACTATGTAGCCCAAGCTAGCCTAGAAAGGTCAGTCCTCCTGCCGCAACTTTCCTGGTGCTGGAATTATAGGTGCACCACCTCACCAGAGACAACAACTTTCTTGAAGTGTTTTTGCATGGCAATGAGAAGGAAGTTCTCATGAGTAAGTTTTCCCTCACTCTACCTCAGGCCTGCTGCCTGCATTTTGAAGAGGAGGCTGTATTGGTGCAGTGAGAGCAGCCGTACTCTCTCTCCCCCTTCTTAGCCCTGAAGAGAGAGCAGCCGTACTCCCCCCTTCTTAGCCCATGATCTTACTGATAGTGGAACCCAGGATCCAAAAGGATATGATGAAGCAGGTTCAACGATTTCCACTAAAAACCACTCTAGAACAGAATTGCTGGTAATGGAAAGTGCTATGTTTATTTGATTTTGAATGTGTGGTCCATTTAAAATCCATTATGCTTCCCCTTAAATCCCTTCCTTGTGCCTCTAGCCACCTGGATCAAATGACCATGTCTAGGAAAGACGAAGGAGTAACGTGTCCAGACACCCGAGAAGAGTACAGCTTGAGGTCTGGGCATATGGCTCAAGAAGCAGCACCACCAATGAAGACTTTCTTCAAAGCAGTGCGGTTTGGCCTGTAGAGTTTGTTGCCCTGCTTGGTTGGGACTTCCCTAGCTGTTTCCCCACTCCCAGAGTTCCTCTGTTCCTCTATGGCCTGGGCTCCAGATTTAGAATCACAGTTGTCATCTTTGAGCTATGGGATCTCTGAGAGATCCCTAACTTCATAGATGAGGGAAACATACCTCAAGTCATACCACCCATCACTGACAATGCCAAAATTGAGATTCTCAAACTCTCAAGTCAGATGTCCTTCTACAATACCTCAAAAGAAAGCAGGTACCATCTGCCTCCAGCTCCAGTAACATCTGAAGTAAGCAGATGAGGGATGATCAACACAAATGAGAAAGACCTATGAAGGGTCTAGCTGAGCTAGGCTCAGCTCAGTGAAGAACCACAGCACTCCCCTCCCTCAGAAGGTCATCGTGACAGACCTTGCTAGGACTCTTCTGGCTGCAGCACTGAATCCTGCATGGAAGCATGCTGTCTCATGATCCTTGGCTCCCTGCTGACTGAGGCAGGTTTCAACTGATACAGATCATACTGGTGAGGTGTCCACCTGCATGGGAATTCAGTTGAGCCAGATGGCAGATTGCAAGCTACAAAATCCACCCCTAACTTAGGCTGACTCCTAACAAATCAGCCATCTCCCTATGTTCTCCTGGGAGCAACCAAGGGACGGACTCACAGATGCAGAACTCTCTGCAAGTGCTCATGAACAAGCCCCACAGAGAAGAAGCAAACCCAGGAAGAAGGGACTGAAAAACAGAGAGCAGGAATTGGGAACAACTGTGATTCTTCTTGCTTACCCAGGCCCTGGAGAGAAGAAAACAATGACAGCCAGGCACATCCCTCTATCTAGGTTTCAAACAAGGTCAGCCTTTGAGGTCGAGATAAAGATAATGTGGGAACCTGGAACATCCTAAAAGATGAGTGAAGAGAATGCTGCCTGCAGAGAATAGTGGGGAAGTGAGTGCTATACAGAGTTTGAGACAGTTGAGAAATGAAATGCATTCAACTCATTTGGCAACTGGATGGTCACTGGTGCCTCTTATGAAAATCCATAGAGAGCTGAAGATGAAGAATCAAAAAAATATTCTTTTAGCTGCTTTTTTTTTTGAGGCCAGGTCTCACAGTGTACCCCTAGCTGGCCTGGAACTCACTCTGTGGACCAGGCTGGCCTTGAACTCCTGGAGCTCTTCCAGTCTCTACCTCCCAAGTGCTGGGATTAAAGATGTATGCCACCATGCCCAGTCTGTGTTAAAAGAAAAATGATGGACAGTGAAAAAGGTCTATGACGCAGGTGTGACATTTTTGTTTGAATCTTGAGATAACTTTGGTAGGCTGTGTAGAAGTAAGCAATGGAGAAAGCCTGCAGAGCCCGGGAAGGGAAAACAAAGCCTCGGAGGGCATATGGGGCTCAGGAAATACAAAACTGGAGTACAGGGAAGGAAGTGAGGCAGGGTGCACACACTGGTCATAGAGGAAGAGCAGGGGGCAGGAAACCCTTGCCTTAGGCGCTCTCTTCAATAAAGCAGACCGTAAGCTCAGTCATTGGCCAACAGCAAAGGTGAAGAATGGATATCAGAAAGAAGAGTAATACCAAGTCCAAGAATTCCCAATCAATACTGAGGCTGTGGCTCTGAGCCTGCCATGCTTAGAGGCCGAAAAGGAACAGAAAGCAGGCTGGTGTGGAAAATGGAGAAAGTAGGTGTTGGGGAGGTTAGCAAAGTGCAGAATGCTAATCAGAACCTCTGTGGTGGGCCCTGGGTTCACTCTGGCGAGAGGAGGAAACCCTGGAGAAGGATGGAAGTGGGAAAGGGGGAGGGATACAGTCATGGAAGCAGGCAGAGGGGAGGGGGTAAGCACAACAGGAGAGGGCCTGGAGAAGAGGAGGCGGAAGCAAAGACTCAGCTCCTAAGTTAACAAGTGACCAATGTGGTAAAAGTGGGGGGAGCAGGCACCAGCTACAGAGGGGCCTAGGTATTAAGAGGCATACAAAGACTGTGTTTCCAACAATGTCACACATGGAGCAGCGTCCAAGGAAGGCCAGGTGGCTGCCATTCAGCAAGGTTCCTACAGCAGGCACACACCTGTTGCTAGAATTCAGGTGGATCAACCTACGCATATTCTGTGAAAGAATGCTTTTAAAGTCCATACCGTATCAGTTTTTGCACCAAAATGCCCTTGTGTCCACTGAAGCCATCCTACTGTCACGTTTCTCAGCACTTGCTCAGCACGGCCAAGAAGTTTCTTGTCTCCTAGGGCTGCACACTGCAGCAAAACAACCAGAACTCATTGCATTTCCACTGCATGACTCTGTCCACAGGAGCTTAACTGACTTTATGACTGGACCATATGGGAATAAGCCACTGCAGGATCCAATAAAAATGTTGAAGAGCCAAAGAGCAAAACTTACTTAGTGAATAAGTGTTTGGTTTTGTTTTAAATTTCTTAAATTTCCAGTTGTTGTTGTTGTTGTTTGCATGCAAAGAAAGATGACTTTAAAAACATAGTTCCAGGAAAAATCCCATGGGCTAGTCAGTATAGGGAAGGAAAGATGACCAGGGCCTCACATCCGGAAGGAAAAGTCATCCCTCTTTCCTATCTGCCCTGCTCACATGCCCAGAGGGAGCCTCTCGGCACAGAGGGGCTCTATAGTGGAAAGGGGACAGAGGACTGCCTATCGTATCCCTGGGCCCAGAAGCTGATCCTTGTACTAACCGGACACACTCAATCTGCAAGCTGTACCAAGATAGGAGAAGCGAGGCTTTGAACCAGGCATTTCCATGTCACAGGCACAGTCTCCAGCTGGTCCAGGAAAAGTTGTTAGGTTTCATAGTGTTCAGTGGCTTTCCAGAGCCAAACACCATAAAGTATAGAATATGTGCCACAAAAGGGAAGATGCCCAAAGCAGGAATTCGAAAAGGCACAAACAGAAGGAAACTTACCAGACCAATCAGAGAGAAGGATGCAAAAATCAAAAGAGAAATACCCAGAGCCCCAACAAAAGGCATTGTGAACATAAAGAGCAAAGCCTGTTTCCGAAGGTTACCTGACCAGAAATGAACTGAAGAGTCAACTGCCTCGAGTTAGACAGCAGGTATGGAAGCCCACGTACTGAAGAGAGCTTGGCAGTGCTGCTGAACCACAGGGCAGTAGGCAGGGCTGTGATGTGAAGATGCTCCCTCAGTCCAGTCAAAGGGGGCCGAGTGCTTTTGCTTCTCTCGTGGAGAAGAAGAGAAGGTTTCTGGTAAGATGTTTCCCAACTAAGACCCTGTGAACAATCACTTCCTTAAACTGTGCCTCTTTGCAAAAACAAAGCCACAGCCTGAGAATCCCCTGAAATTAGCCATGCCTCAGGACCAGGTCACTGAGATGCCATCTCCACCAACAATATAATCAATAGGTCCTTCCTCAACCAAGCCAATGCCTAGGAAGAAACCTGTCCCTGTGTATGTCTCAGAGGCTTCCTTCCAAATCCTGCCAACACCTTGGAGATCCATCTACGATATGGCCTTCAGTTCTACTGCTCTTGGCTTCCAGAATGTCTTTCTGGGCATTCTGTGAGAGCCATAACTCTAGAGTTACCTCAGGGTCACTAAAGGATTCCCCTTCTCTGCCCTTAGCCCAGGAATTCTTCGATTAGACTCCTGTCAGTCACTGCTGCCTTTTCCAAGCTCCTACAATAGAGGGTGATGAGTGTTGGCTGCTTCTGGGCTGTGAACAGCATGGCCACAGTTCTGATCTTTGGTTGTGTGAAAAAGAGAACTAGACTTGGGCAGAAGAGGCCCAGCACAGTACTGGCTGTGGGTTATTCTTGCCAGGGAACTCTGTACCTGCAGTAGACACCACCTCACATTTCTCCCAAGTAAAACTCAAGATACGGATGTCTGAATAGAGATGACCAAGGAAGAGCCACTGATGCACATAATAGTCACTTTTGAGAAGGTAGGTTCTGAAGTGCTATTAGGATACAAAAGGACAGATTCTGAAGCTGGCATCTTCTGGATGTAAATGAAATCTGGTCTCTGCACTGCCTCCTAGCTCAGGCAAAAGTGCCAAACCACACATAGCATTTCACAGTGACCACCCAAGTCCTACTCAGGAAAGGGGGCGTGAAAACAAATACCCTGAAAACCGTTAGAACCCAAATAGGCACCAATTGAGACCTAGGGCCTCGAGAAGCCTCCATTATTCTGCCAGTGGCAGATACCTCTGTCCCAACAGGACGAGCAAAGGCAGACAGTGACAGTCTTTGGCTGTTCTGGGACAGGGTTCATAGGCCTGCCATATATCCAAATCTCGCTTCCTTTCTTATACCCACTTCTAAGCCAGGAGTTCAGACACACACAGTGTTCCTGAGCCCTGGCTGCTGAGAGGTGAGCAAAGTCTGCTCTCCTCAATTGAGAGAGCTCATGAGGAAGCCAGGTCCTTCCAAGCCTTGAGAGGCATGGAACCTGTATGTCCGATTACTCTGGCAATGAGGAACCTCCCTCTTCCCTGTTTTACTGAAATCTTCTTTATGGTGGATGCACTATGGCTCCCAAATAAATGCTAGAGATGCAAATGATGAAGGGAGCGCTACCCGCTCAACAAGACATCTCCCAGCCACACTCTGAAGACGATAAGCTGAAGGATGGGGAGGAATGGTCGCGAGGATGGGACATCGGCCACCAGAACGCCCCGTCTCCTTCCAGTTCTCACACCTGTGAGATGCTGTTGGCCAGGCGAAACGACATTCTCTTTGTCTTTTCATTCTCCTGAGATAAAAGAAAAGTTGGAATATTCAAATTTGGATTTATTAAACCTAAGGGGACTAGGGTCAGGATTGGGGCTCCCCAGAGCTGATGTATTCTACCCTGGAAATGCAGCAACAGAACTCACCGAGGACCCTATCTATGACGCACCAAGTGTTGTAAATTTCAGGGGTTTCTGGCCAGACCTTGGCACACGGGAGGCCAGCAGCACATTTTAGTGGGATTTAACAGAATGGCTGCAGGTAGTGGCACATGCCTGTAACACTAGCAACTTGGGAAGAGGAACTAGGAGGATTGTCACAAGTGTAAGGCCAGCCTGGTCTCTATAGTTAGTTCCAATTCAGCCTTGACTACATAGTAAGATCCTATGGCAAAACGGAAACATGGAAAGAGGGACTGAAGGAAGAAAGAGGGAAAGAAGAGGGCAAGGGGAGAGAGGGACACCGGATGGAGGAAAGCAGGGGAGGAGTGTAATCTTTCGGGTCTGCACAGACGAGAGAGTCAGAAGATCCTGGAAGTCTTTCTGTTGCAAGCAAGCCCTCTGCTTCCTTCCTACAGCCAGGAGCTTAAAGGGTCCCTTCTTTTCTTCCTCTGGCCCAGGCAGGAATCAGGCACTGATATCAGGTAGCTCTCTTTCTATGGGCATCACAGTCTTAGTGTAGTATAACCAGTACTGAGCTGGGGGTCAGAATACCTCTCTTCACCCTAGAGGTCCCTGGGCAGGAACATGGGCCCCTCTAAATTTCCAGCTTCACTGATAACTAGGGTTGGTGATCTCACATGATGCTCAGGTGCCCCATTGTCAGTGACACCACCCACCACCCACCCTGACCACTGGATGGCAGCGGCTCTTACCATATGTCGCCGCCGCCTCTTGGGCTGGATGCCTTCCTGCATGTAGGGAGGCCACGGGAAGCCCTGAGGGGTGGAACAGCCACTCTCCCCAGATACATCCTCGGAGTCTGAATCCTCTTGCCGGGGCTGGGCAAAGCTTTTGTCTGGGTAGATCTCCTTTAGCCAGCCCTCAAAGAATACTTCCAGACAGCGACCAGCCTCTGCAACCTCCGAGTCAGGCTGGTGAGGGGAGACAGTAGTGGACCAGTCTGTTTCTACTAAGTCATCTCCTCTATGCCCCTCCATCAGAAGGGCTACAGGGAGCACAAGCTTGACTGGCCCATTTTGAAATCTCATCCTGAGAGACCTGGAGCTTGGCATATTCTCCTAGGACTCAAGACAACCCATTTGGTAGCAGCTCATAAAGTAGAAGTAATCTTAGTAGATACCCACAGTTGGCCAGTTGCTAGTACCTTCCCCCATCCTGAGTCCATGCTTAGGGCCCACATTTGGGAGAGGGCTTTTAAACCATAGCAAACCCCAGGACTCTGTTCCCAGAATCTCTTGCCCACATCTTCCCCCAGCCATGACAGTCTTAGGATCACTGTGAAATAATGAAAACAAACCCAACATACATAATTGAATTTAGCACAGTTCCAGAACATGAGGCGTACGTCTGACACCACTTCCTCTGGAGTGGTGTAGTGAGCTGGGTCCTTCTTTTGCAACTTCCTCCGGATAATCGAAAGGTCCATGGGCCTCTTGATAATCTGATAATAATGCCTGGCCTTGGTGAAGGATGAGGAGATGGAAAGAAAAAATTAGCACAGAAATAGCTAAGAAACGAGGAATGGAGACCCTAAGGGGTCTCCTGAGCAGAAAGGAGAGCAGCAGGCAGCAGCATGGGGCCTACTTACAAGGGGGCTGACTGGTTCATGGAAGGGCAGGCTGAGACTGTTGCAGCACAGGGACAGGATCAGCTTCTCACACTTCTGCAGAGATCACAAGAGGCAAGTGGCGCACTGCTCTGGTTCCAACTCAGTGGGAACCAAGGACAGTAACTGATAACTGTCTGGCTGTGGCCTCGAGGGTGCCAGCCACCCTAAGAAGACAGCTTGGGCTCCCAGGCTGAAGGAAACTTCTGGGCAAGGGACAATCACATAAATTCCACAGGCCAACTCATCAGGCATGGCCCATGGCAGTCTCCCCATCCTCCCCGCTCCCTGAAGATCGTGTATTGAAGACTTGGTCCCAGGGCAGCAGCTCAGAGGCAGGATCTTTGGAGACGACTCAACCATGAAGGCTCCTGCCTGGCACAGAGATCAATCCATTCTGGACTGTGGGGAGCAGGTGAGACTTTTAAGGGGTGGTGGCTAGTGTGAGGAAGTGGTCACCCATACCCTTGCCGGTATATTTTATCCCTGGGGCCCCTTCTCTCTTTCTGCTCTCTGGCAGTCCTGAGGCAAGCTCTGCATGCTCCCCACTGTACTGCTTCTGCCTCACCAGAGACCTGGGGACAACCAAGCTTGGTGACTGCAGAATGAAACCCTGAGTCAAAATAACCTGTTCCACTTTAAGCAGATTTTCTCAGGTGTTTTGTCACAGTAATGCCACAGCTGCCTAACAAAGCCCACCTTCCCAAAAGACTTGAAAACCTTAGCTTCTGTAGGCAAAGGGGCTGCCTCATATAGAAAACTCTGTTCCCAAAACCCTTCCCTACCTTCTGGTCATACATGCTCAGGCCGGGAGGTACCCGCACTCCAGGCTGACTGTAGCGGGCGTTCTCACAATCGTACTCCATCTCAGGCTGCATCAGGCTGCGGCAGAGGGTGCAGACCCACTCTCCCCTGTACAGCAGGTGATACCATATTAGACTCAGCATCCTTCCCTGACCCTCTGCCCAAGACAGGCGTAGGAAAGGGGGGTGATGACATAAGAAACTGTGTCTCCAGCCCTTTCTCAATGAAGGAAATGGCATGCTAGCCACAGGCTTGAAAGAAGTAAAATAAGTGAAGATGCCATGAGTTCAGAAAAAAAACAGGAGTTAGGGAGGATTGAGGGCTAGGTATGGGACAAAGTGACACCATTGCAGGGCCCACCAACTATTAGAACCAGACTTGGTGTCAGCCCAGGTAAGTCCACCCTGGGAGCGCTGTGGGCCTGGCCAGAATCATGATCTGGCCCTGAGGTGAACCCCTATTAGCCAGGGGATGGCATGACTCACCCTGGGAAGCTGAGCAAGGCGGGTACGTGGCAGGAAAGGTGATACACTTTGGGACAGCGGTCACAGCACAGCAGTTCCCCACCATTGAGGCACACAGCACAAAAGTCCTCATTCTCTATGGGGGCTGGGGTGCACTTTTTGGCTCCAAGATTTCGGGGAATAAGTCTGTGTTCTTCAGAAGATGCACTGTCTACCTCTGGTGGCCGCTGCCCAGCCAGAGATGTGACGGTGACCTTTCTCCCCCCCAGTCCTGGGCCTTTGGTGGCATCAGGCAGGCTGTTCTGGCTGACCTTGGGGAAGAAGTGAGTCTGAGCAGCTGGAGCATGGTATTGACAAAGGGGTGGTAGGGGTGGGGTGGAGGAGACTGGCAGAGACTGAGCACTTACTATGAGGATCTCTTACTCCTGGACCACAAGCCAACCAAGTCCTAGCTCAACCCTGCTGTATCTCCCAGATGCCATGCAGCAGAGGACAAGGCTAGCTACAATCCCACTGAGGTTCACAAAAAGGTACTAAAGCAAGTATTCTACCAGCAGCAAAGAAAAACAAGAGGCTTGGATCAAGCAGAGTCAAGTGGTACCTTAATGGACATGCTAGAGGACTCAGAGCCACACTCTATCACCAGCAGGAAGCTTCCATCCTGGCTGTTCTTCTGGGGCTTCAGCTTAAACACAGGCATCTCTCCTGATGAGGCAGCACAGATCTTGAGCCGCTCCAGTCGCACGTAGGGAATCTTGGGCTCACTACTGATGGCTCTGTGGTAAGAGAGACACTCTGGGTCTCCTCAGGAGCCCCAGATAGCCTCGATCTCTAAGTTAGGCTCATTCATGATCCCCCAAATGAACAGCCTCCTCAGTTGACACTTCATAGGTCCACATTCTGCCTCCTGCCAAGTTTATCCCAGTCAACCCTGTCAAACACTGGAAAGACCTTTGGTACCACCTACAGTCAAAGGAGGGCTCCCTTCTAAGAACAAGGACTGTTACACACAAATACACGCCTAACAATGCCTGGAACTCTCCCATAACTATTATAGGTACCCAGCCACACTTGAGGCTCAGAGATGGTGATGGCAGGTATAGACAAATTTCTGCTTCAAGTTCTTAGACTTCCTGTGCCAGCCTCTTAGGACAGAAAGTTGAGGGTAAGAAGGCCATCCAAGAGTCATTACCTTATGCTTGAATTCTCTTTTGTATCCAGCTCCAGGGCTCCTTGTTCAAAATTCTCATATTCTAAGACAAAAGACAAATAGCTGTGACACACATTTGTGGCAACAAATGTCATTTAGACCTTCCACTTATTTCTGTTATTTGAGCTTTTGGTCATACATTGGCCACACAATTGTTACCACGTGTCCTCATTCATGGTGTGACAACCCTACTATGTGTCCTCTTCCTGAGAGAGGCTGAAAGACATCATCTTTTTGGCACAAATTAGCACAGATAATACTCAGAGCCTGCTGAGGGAGAGGTAAGAGCTGGGTGAGGCCCTGATAGCCATCTTCTAAGAGCTCAGAAATAGCCCGTCCAATACAGTAGTGTCACCTCCTGTCATTCTCTGAAGTCTCAGCTAGTGTGGAGATTCTAGCACCAGCCCTGGGAGCGAGAGCCTCTGCACAGCGCAGTCAACACAGATGGGCAGGAACAACACCAAGGCACAAACAGGAACCCCCATTTATAAGCACTGCCTATGTGCTTTCTTCAGGCAAATTTGACTCTAAAATTTTGATTTAATTGCATAAAATATAAGGTAATACTACTTATGCAATAAGGGCCAATAATTTTTTCAGTTGGTTTGTCAATTTAAAGAGAAAAATAGTCCATTTGTTGGTATTGTTGTTCTTGTATATATTAAGTGCCTAGAAAATAGACTGACCCATTTCAAAATAAGCAATAACACCACACATGAAAAAAATCCTAAGTGGTCAGTATTTGACTCTAATTTTCTTGACTTAGCCTTATCAGGTGAAACAAACCACTGATCAACACTGAAACAAACCACCTTAAGGGATTGGTGGGCTGGAGAGACAGCTCAGTGGGTATAGGTGCTTAAGTCTGACATCCTCAATTCAACCCACAGGACCCAGGTGGTAGAAGGAAAAAAAAAGCAGCTCCTTAAGAAGAAACTCAGAGCCTATCCCCAGTAGTCTAAATTCCTCCATTTTAAGGCACTGCACAAATCCACACGACTGCTGAGTACATGGAAAATTCTTGCTGTTACAGAGTAAATGGCCGGGTGGTTTCTCTGTAGTTGTTTGTCCCCTATTCTAATGCAGCAGTCTGGTGAGTCCCATTTACCGAGGCAAATGACAGACATCCACTTCACAACAGACAGAATTGATGTCCTAACTAGAATCATCAGACACACCTTTTCACTCACAACATTTTGCCAAGGCTAGCTCTTTTGGAGTTATTTCTTCAAGTGTGCCTACATACAAAGTCAGACTGTCCAGGATGTGTTCCACAGGGAAGATTAGAAGTGGGCCACACCGATCAGTGGTTAGATTAGGGAAGCAGAAGCATGTACATCACTTCCCACGGACAGAAGCAAATTCAGCCTTATAAGCAGCACTCTCCAGGCCAAGCCCATCCACCTGCCTGCACCTCACCTAGAGGTGCTGAGAGGCCTGCTCAAGTCTGTGGCCAACAGGAAAGGCAGCCACTTACTCAGGTCTCACCTTTTGGGTGCTGGTACTGTTGCAGAGCAGTAGACGTGTTGATCACTGGCACCAGAAAAGGTTTTTTCACAGAGAGGTTAATTGGTTCCTCCAGTTCTGAGGGAATAACCAAATCCTTGGGAACATCCAGATTGGAGGCTGTGGAGCCTTGTCCTATTGAGTCTGTGACACGAGTGCCATCCTCACTCTCCATCTGTTAAAGGTGAAAAGTCAACAAGAATCAAATCAGACATTCTGGCCATCAGCAAAACTGCTAAGTTAAGGCTAAGATAAGGCTAAGAATGACACTTTCCCAGACCTACCTTACACAGGGCATTCCCCAGGGAAGACTCGGCCCCATCCTTGAGGCCCAGGCTCTCTGCAGTTTGGCCAGAGCTGGGACTGGAAGTGGATCTAGTCTCCAAACGTATGTCAGAAACCGGAGGCATGCCTTGCGGAGGACAAGTGGCCAGACTCTGCACAGCCTGGGTGTGCCCAGACATTAGGCTGGGCCCAGCCTGTGAGTGGTTGCTTGTAACGGCCTGAGAGCAATCACCCCTCAGGTTGGGCATGGACTGGAATGTGCCACGTACAAGGTTCGGCGCGGGTTGCAGATGACTGGCTGGGCTGGGCACGGCATGGTTTGAAACACTCATCAGGCTAGACACAGTTTGTGGTGGGCCACTCAGCAGGCTCGGAATTGTGTGGGTGGGACCAGCTGTCAGGCTGCTCACCCTGTGGATCTGTGGCTCTGTGGTCCTCGCCAGCCTGGTAGATGACAACTCCATCTCCAGAGTGTTGGAAAAGCCCATGATGCTCACTGAGGTGGAGTGCTGCAGAAAAGGGCATGGGTAGATTTGGCTGTCAACTGGGAATGTAGTAAGAGAGAGGAAACCCATTCCACACGAGCTCTGAGATTCCATTTGCCTGCATTTAGGGGCTGCCACTGGGAGCTAAGGCAGCTCATGAAGTCCTGTCCTAGTTCCCACCACCAAGGAAGCTACTAGGTTATGACATAGAGGGAGGTACAAGCCAAGGTGTGGTGTGTGTGTGTGTGTGTGTGTGTGTGCATGCGTTGCACACACATGCATGCATGCACAAGAGACACAGAATGAGAAAAGGAATCTACCACCTGACCTGAGGTCCACACCTACCACACCTGACCTGAGGTCCACACCTACCACACCTGACCTGAGGTCCACACCTGCCACACCTGACCTGAGGTCCACACCTACCACACCTGACTTGAGGTTCACACCTACCACACCTGACCTGAGGTTCACACCTACCACACCTGACCTGAGGTTCACACCTACCACACCTGACCTGAGGTCCACACCTACCACCTGACCTGAGGTCCACACCTACCACACCTGACCTGAGGTTCACACCCAGCACACCTGACCTGAGGTTCACACCTACCACACCTGACCTGAGGTCCACACCTACCACACCTGACCTGAAGTCTACACCTACCACACCTGACCTGAAGTCTACACCTACCACACCTGACCTGAGGTCCACACCTACCACCTGACCTGAGGTCCACACCTACCACACCTGACCTGAGGTTCACACCCACCACCTGACCTGAGGTTCACACCCACCACCTGACCTGATGTTCACACCCACCACCTGACCTGAGGTTCACACCTACCACACCTGACCTGATATCCACACATGCCCCATGGGTTGTATCCCCCAGCCCTAGTCCTGAACTTAAGCAAAGGGTTAGTAGGACTTTCTAATTTCACACTTCTAGTCTGGACTAATAGTATCTGTGGCTTCCCTTCCTTCCCTTTAAAGGATTTCAAGGGATATTTTCCTATATAAAGCTGGCCACAAATTATGAAAAACTAGAACTGTGATCTTCTTCAGAGCTGCTCCCTTCAAAGCATGCCAAGGTTTCAGGGGGTCTCATTCTGTCCAGGGGAACCCAGTTAAACTCTAGAACCTGCAGCAAGCTTGCAGCTTGTACTAGCATTGAATGGCGGATTTCATCAAGGTAGTGGAAGGTATTCCTGCCAAAGTCACTCCAAATCACAGGAAGGGAACTTGAGAGCAACTCTTAACATGTCCCTAGCAGTGCAGCCATCAGATGGGGTGAGACTGTTTCAAGCAGAAATCTAACTACTGAGAGTCCTGAGAAAAAGGGACTTAACACGTTACTGAAAAGAATTGAAAACTTGGGTGATTTCAGTCACTGATTGTATACAGCTTTTCAGATTAAAGAAACAGATTTGATGGGGGTGAGAAGGCAGGAGACCAGTTTTAAATGTAACTTTCATGAATTTAGAACTTTGATAAGCCTGTTCTTGGAAAAAAAAGCTTCAATATATTCCAGTTTGTCTACTTTTGGAAATTAAAGGGAAAACAATTGAACATGCAGCTGTAAACTTTCAAGATCAATGTCCCAAATCTGTCATTCTTTCTCCCACGTGTGAAGTGTTCAAGTTTCCTGAGGGCAGTAAACACTTCAGTACATTCTCAGGCTTCAATATAAAGGTAATAAAGCTAGTCCCTAGTAAGGAAAGATGGCTTTCCTCCCTGTGAATGTCATTCCTGGTCACTCAGCTGTGTAAGTCAAATGCTCGACAGAGCAGCACAGGGGCAATTCTCCTTGCTCCCAAGCTAACACCAAGCCCTGTAATCAGATATACACATTACTTCCCTCTCTACAGACAGGGCCAAAGTGTAGCCTATGTTCCTATCTCCCTAAACCACAGGAGTGGCCTCCTCAGTGGAGACACTTGGAAACACACATCAGACCACACTGGGCCTTTTCATTAAACCATGCAGTGTGCTCCATTGTCTTCAAGATGAATACAAAAATCCTGAAGAGACTCCCAAGACCCAGGTGACCTGTGCCCTCATCCTTAGCAGTCACAAATCAAAGAACAAGCCTCTCCTCGTTCTCTGTGATCCAGTCCTTCAGACACTATCCCTGGCAGCCCTCACCCCCTCCAGAGTCTGCCTACTCTGCACAGACCATTCTCCTTGCTCCAGCCCTGTTCTACTTGCCCTTAAGAGCTCAGCTTCCCACTGTGTGTGTGTGTGTGTGTGTGTGTGTGTGTGTGTGTGTGTGTTTGTGTACCAAATCCCCACCCCCTGGATGCTCCCAGACCACCAGCCCTTCAACCTTGTGGCACATCCATGATACAGTGATCAGATGCTGTATCCCTACGAAACTAAACTCCCTTGAAGCATCAACTTTGGCCTATTTAGTTTACCCAACTTTATTCCTAGACCCCAGAACAGTGTCTGGGTGAATACAGGACATAATGAGCTAATTGAAATTTCAAAGCAATGCTGTGGGACTGTTGATTCCACAAATGTTTATTCAAGTAAACAGCAGCTTAGTGCCACTCATGACTGACACTGAGTTGTCCCTAAAATCATGACTGGCTTTGGAGGACTGAAGTTTAGCCAGAATTTATCACATGCAAAGCACTTTGCTAGGGGTTTACACATACTGTCTCAGTTAACCCTCATAGTAGCCATTAGAGGTTGTCGTGAAGGCTAAAAGATGCAATCCGTATCAACACTTAGGATGTCCCGTCTGTAAACCTTGGCTGTCCACTGTAGTATTCTGCTGCAGAGCCCTTCATTATAAACAAATGAGCTTGGAAAGTCATCTTCAGGTTTTTAATGTTCCCATAAAACATGATCTTGAATGTTTTCCATTTCTTTTTTTTTTTTGTACGTAGAAATACAATTGATTGTTCATCTTGTACCCAGATTCCTTGTTAGACTCACTTTGGATTTTCTGTGTACACATTAGGTGGTGTATTAAGTACCATTTCTTTCTCGTCTTTCATGTGTTTTCTGGCTTTTTACCAATGGCTGGCCCCTTCTGCATGGGTTTGCATAGTCATCCTGGTAACATCCTGATGCCAAGGACCCTTTCAGTGTTCCATCCTAAGACCTGAGGTAGCTCTTCCTAGATTTGAGTCTGCATCTGACCTTCGGAACCACACTCAGGCAGAGCCTGACTCTACCCAACCCCTCTTCCCTATGTCCCACCCTCCACATCAATTTCTTCATCCTTTCTGCATCTGCTCTCCCTCCCCTTTCATCCCCCTCTCTGTCTCTAATGACCCTCACCTTTTTCTTTTTTTGGCGTTATCAATTTTTTCTCTTCTCTCCCTATCCTGTTTATTAATTATCGGCTTTTAAAGTTTATGTTTCCTTAGTCTTCTCAGTTTTAAAAATAGATGGTTTAAGCACTTTCTATTTATCTTTCCATGGAAAGTTGTGCCTTTTTTATGTGTTGCTTGGTAGTTCAGTCTTTAGTAAAAAAAGAAAATTCTAATTTGCTAAGTAGTCTACAGAGCAAGGACCAAAAGATAGATGCTCCAATCAAAGTGAAGTAGGCATGAAGCCCAATAGGAAAGATCAAGACCAGAATCCAATGGCTTTCTGGCTGGTGACTGAGTATGGATGAATCCTCCAATGTGTTCACTTGGTTCTGCCTTGGCCTTCTCTCCTTTTTTCTGCTACTTCCAGAATATTCACTTTAGGGTCTTTTATGAGCCTCTCAGTGAGATACAGCTAGCCTTGTCATCTGCTGTGAGGAACCCATTGAATATTGCAGGGGTGAGTTGTCCCTTAGTTGTCTTGGTTGTATCCTACCAGAGCTTTCTAAAAACCTGTAGTTCCTTATCTACAGACAGAATATCTGGTGATTAATGCATTGCACTTTTAATATCAAACAAACAAATCCTTTCAACTATATCATTCCTCCTTTTCCCCACATGACATATTTAATTTAGTTCTGGTGTTTGTTTTGTCTACCCATGACAGATACTGAGAATTACATAATAGATAACTGAGGGTAACCTTGAACTTCTAATCCTTTTGCCATTAGGCCCCACTTTATAAGGTAGATAAGGATTGAACTCAGGGTCTTGTGCATGCTTCAGCAAGCTCTTGGTGAGATCCTTGATGCTAATCCAGAATCCATTTAAACTATCTAACTAATCATTTGAGTTGAGCTGTGCATAACGCCAAGTCAAAGAACATACCTTATCTGAGGACATCAAGTCCCTTCTCCCAATTCTTACTCCATGCAATGACACATGAGTTCATACAATGATACAATGACAGAATAAGAAGGGAACAGGAAGACTGAGCCACAGTTTATTTTGAAGCAAGTCTGCTGGTTATCTGCTCCTGTAACTTGTCTCTTTCTTCTCTGTGTCTATGACCAAAACCAATGGGAACAAAGTGCTGCTAGTGGTCACAAAACCTTGGAAACGTCCTTGGGAAAAAGAACTCAAAAGCAGTGTCAAGAGCAGTCCAGCCCTAACCCCATTTCCATAGATTGTAAAAGCACAGTGACAGGGCTGGTACATCTATGGCTCAGTAGTTAAGAACACTAGTGGCTGCTCATCCCGATGACCTAGGTTTGAATCCTAGCACCCACATGGCAGCTCACAACTATCTGTAACTCCAGTCCCAGGGGATATGATGCCCTTTTCTAGCCTCTATGGGTACTAGGCACATACATGGTACACAGACATATATATAAAAGCAAAACACCAATACACATAAAATAAACATGGATGAGTGTGCATACACACACACACACACATACACACACCGGTATTCACAAACATGGCATTTCTGGAACCTATATATACCATGTCAATTACTTTTGATACTTTCCTGGCTCTGTGAAATGTAGAGCCACAGACCACTAAACTGAAAAGTACTAATTTCATGTGCAGGAAAAAAGTGGAGAATCAAGAGGCTTTTATGATACTCTGCTTCTAGTCCAACAAGTGAGAGGCAGCTAGAGCAGGGGACCGCAGGGCAAGTAGGGAAGAGAGTG